CTGATTATCTTGTATGTTTTTTCTATATTTCACTTGCTTCTTTCTTATACCTAGCTGTGATTTCTTCAACCAATAACCAGAACACTACGTTTTATGCCTCAAATAATACACACACTAACAATACTTTAAAAATCTGATGTGCCAATAGCACCAAACCATAAAAACACACTTACATCTTTATTCAAAATATGATAATTAATCCTGGGGAAGAGTGGCAATACATTCAGAAGAGCATCAACATTCTCCTTTGAAGTGAAAAATTCTAAGTAGGCTTTCTGGTATACATAGCCACCAGGCATTCCCCAACCCACAACCGGGTCCTCACTACTTGCGCCATCCACTCTGGGCTGCACGGAAGAATGAAAAGGTTGGTAATCATGATGATGACAAAGACAACAATAACAGTGAAAATCATAAAATTGTTGGTAATCATGATGATGACGAAGACAACAATAACAGTGAAAATCATAAAATTGTTGGTAATCATGATGATGACGAAGACAACAATAACAGTGAAAATCCTAAAATGGTTAAGTTAATGGTAATAATCCTAATAATATAATAATCATAAGATGAAATGGAAGAGGAACAAGCACTGCAATAAAGATGATAAAACAGACAAGGAGAAATTTGAATAGGAAGAGGAAGAGCACAAGGAGAACATAAGAAAGAAGAGGAAAAGAAGAAGAGGAAAAGAAGAAGAGGAAAAAGAAGAAGAGGAAAAAGAAGAAAAAAAAGAGGAAGAAGAAGAGGAAAAAGAAGAAGAGGAAAAAGAAGTAGAGGAAAAAGAAGAAGAAAAAGAGGAAGAAGAAGAAGAGGAAAAAGAAGAAAAAAAAAAGAAAAAGGAAGAAAAAGAGAGGAAAAAGAAGAAAGGACAAAGAAGAAGAAAAGGGAAAAAGAAGAAAAAAAGGAAAAAGAAGAAGAAAAAAAGTAGGAAAAGAAGAAAAAATAGGAAAAAGAAGAAAAAATAGGAAAAAGAAGAAAAAATAGGAAAAAGAAGAAAAAATAGGAAAAAGAAGGAAAAAAAGGGAAAAAGAAGAAAAATAGGAAAAAGAAGAAAAATAGGAAAAAGAAGAAAAATGGAAAAAGAAGAAAAATAGGGGGAAAAAATGGAAAAAGAAGAAAAAATAGGAACAAGAAGAAAAATATAGGAAAAAGAAGAAAAAAATAGGGAAAAAAAAAGAAGAAGAAGAAAGAAAAAGAAGAAGAAGAGGAGGATATGGAAGAAGAGGAAAAAGAAGAAGAGGACAAAGAAGAAGAGGAAAAAAATAAAATAAAATAATAATAATAATAATAATAATAATAATAATAATAATAATAATAATAATAATAATAAGAAGAAGAAGAAGAAGAAGAAGAAGAAGAAGAAGAAGAAGAAGAAGAAGAAGAAGAAGAAAAAGAAGAAGAAGAAGGAGAGGAATAAGAGGATGAGGAAGATAAAGCAGAGGAAGATGATGATGGTGAAGATGAAGAATAAAAAGAATTACATAGAATACAGTGTCTCCTTTAGATGCTTACCTGGGAGTTGATGGTAAGAATACCACGCTTATTAAAGTCAGCCAACTTGTCCGTCAACAAGGAAGTCTCCGAACTTAGCTCGTCGTCATTCCAAGGAACCTGGAATTCACAGAGGAGTCTATATTCTGACCAAAGGAAAACAAGGTAAGTCATGGAATAATAAGAGAATCTTACGTTTGAGAGAACAGTACCTGCATGATATCCTAACCTTTTAAATGTATATTTGAAGGTAGTACTAATGCAACTGAAGGAGAAGTACCTATCTGAAGGAGATTTGCTTACCAGTAATTCAGATTTGTGTGTTTCAATCTGTACAGTTTACTTTATTTAACTTCCTTTGTAAATATCAAATATGAAAAAAGACACAGAAATATAATAATGTTGCTTACTTTGGTTACTTTCTGGCCTGCCTTATTCAGTCCACCGGTCAAGTATGCATGGAACACATCCCAAACATCTTGCTCACTTTCCAGTGTTTCTCCCCACATGGACAACAGCTCCTCTTTAGAACTCTTACTCTGAAAAAAAATAAGATTCTGTGATACATCTATTCAAAAAGTCATAATAAATTAAATACTTCAGTTCACACAGTAAAGAAATTCCTTGTCTGCTGTTGGGAATTTTGATTTTTTTTTTACCTTGAGGTAGAAAAGGTAGTAATCTTTCAATTCACCAAAAGCAGGTGATTCTGAAGCTCCCCATCTTCCATTTGGAAATTCATCCCAATGCTGTGTTCTGGAAAACAAACGTAACTTAGACAATAGCAACTATTTATTCATTCTGTACTGATAAAGGATCTATAAGTATCTATTACATTATACAAAATTTTAACATTTCTTTTTCCTTCTCTCTACCTATTTCTTCCTTGAGTTTAATCTAATATTTTTAATTCTTCTTTTCCCCTCATTTTTTTTCTTAAATTCTCTTCCTCCTCTAGCTCTAACACTAGCTCTGACTAACGCTAGTTCTGACTGACGCTAGTTCTGACTGACGCTAGTTCTGACTGACACTAGTTCTGACTGACGCTAGTTCTGACTGACGCTAGTTCTGACTGACGCTAGTTCTGACTGACGCTAGTTCTGACTGACGCTAGTTCTGACTGACGCTAGTTCTGACTGACGCTAGTTCTGACTGACGCTAGTTCTGACTGACGCTAGTTCTGACTGACGCTAGTTCTGACTGACGCTAGTTCTGACTGACGCTAGTTCTGACTGACGCTAGTTCTGACTGACGCTAGTTCTGACTGACGCTAGTTCTGACTGACGCTAGTTCTGACTGACGCTAGTTCTGACTGACGCTAGTTCTGACTGACGCTAGTTCTGACTGACGCTAGTTCTGACTGACGCTAGTTCTGACTGACGCTAGTTCTGACTGACGCTAGTTCTGACTGACGCTAGTTCTGACTGACGCTAGTTCTGACTGACGCTAGTTCTGACTGACGCTAGTTCTGACTGACGCTAGTTCTGACTGACGCTAGTTCTGACTGACGCTAGTTCTGACTGACGCTAGTTCTGACTGACGCTAGTTCTGACTGACGCTAGTTCTGACTGACGCTAGTTCTGACTGACGCTAGTTCTGACTGACGCTAGTTCTGACTGACGCTAGTTCTGACTGACGCTAGTTCTGACTGACGCTAGTTCTGACTGACGCTAGTTCTGACTGACGCTAGTTCTGACTGACGCTAGTTCTGACTGACGCTAGTTCTGACTGACGCTAGTTCTGACTGACGCTAGTTCTGACTGACGCTAGTTCTGACTGACGCTAGTTCTGAGTGACGCTAGTTCTGACTGACGCTAGTTCTGACTGACGCTAGTTCTGACTGACGCTAGTTCTGACTGACGCTAGTTCTGACTGACGCTAGTTCTGACTGACGCTAGTTCTGACTGACGCTAGTTCTGACTGACGCTAGTTCTGACTGACGCTAGTTCTGACTAACTCGCGCTCTGACTAACTCGCGCTCTGACTAACTCGCGCTCTGACTAACTCGCACTCTGACTAACTCGCACTCTGACTAACTCCAGTTCCAATTCCAGTTCCAGTTCCAGTTCCAGTTCCAGCTCTAGCTCTAGCTCCAGCTCCCTCACCTGTATACGTAAGCTTTTGGTCGTGTAGCCCAGAAAATAGGACGGACATCTTCTCCACTCCGTTTATGATTAGCAGCCATTTTCCAAGGTAGGGGTCTCCTCGGAGAAGCTGCCCACAAGCCAAGTTGCTTCAGAATGGCTGTAGTTGCTACTTCTCTGTAATAACAAAAACATAATTTAAGGACCATATAAAAATGCATACAAAATTACTGCATAATCAAAGTATTTCATATCTGTGCTGATGAAGATGACAGGCAAGAGGGAGGGGAATAGGAGAGATAAATAAAGAAAGAATTCAGAAAAAATGGGTTGAGATAAATAAATGCCTACAATATACCAGTAATCTTAATTACTAATACATTTCCAAAAGACAACTAACCTGTTTAGTGTATAAAAGTGTATTCCAGGAGCCATGTCAGCTGCAAACAACTCCTTGATAAGTGTGCACATCTGATGAATCCCATAGTTCCTGATCGCTTCATCATTGTCCTTCAATGGTGCAACAACATTCATGATGTCCTCAGGGACATCTAACTTTGAGAGCTTGACAATGTGCCTCAGGGAATCATAACTCTGGATAGGCATGAGCCCAGGGATGATTGGGCATTTGATCCCAATGGCCCGGCAGTCATTCACAAACTTGATGAATGTCTCTGCCTTGAAGAATAGCTGCGTTATGATGAAGTCTGCTCCAGCATCAACCTTGAAATATACAAAAAGAGAAGATATTGTTAATAATGGAAAATTTAGGTAATCATTCTTATATTTCCCACCATCAGTGAAGAAACTGGATTAAACAGTGACTAATATTTAGACTTTAAAAAGCCATGAATGAATAAGAATTATTTCATAATGCAAGATATGCATCTGATGTTTCAGTTGCATGTAATTCTGAAGATGTGTTCAGCACTGTAACATTTGTTACATTGATCATTGTAAACCCTTACCCTTAACTCACCATACATCTTATAAAATATAATAGGTATATACCTTAAGGTGATACAGATTATGAAGTTTTAAGAAGTGGGGAAAACCTAGGAGGTTTGTTGCTCTCCCAGTAATCTTCCAAATAATTTTGTAAGACTCCATAAAATATATCCATATAATAATTTCCTTTTCCTCTTCATCTGCTCCTAAAATGTCAACTCCAGGTAAAAAATGAGGCTATGGACCATATTGACTCAGATAAGAATGTTTTTTGAAGATGAATATGAAAATTAAGACTTGATGAAAAAAGAAACCACAAAAAAAAATATATATATGTCCTTTACCTTTTCTTTGAGGTGCTTCAAGTCATCCTCATAAGATGTGGCCTCAGGGTGGCCTGTGGGATAACCAGCTACACAGGTAACAAAGTAATCTCCAAATTCCTTTTTGATATGTTTGACAAGATCTGTAGCATAGTTGAACCCATCCTCAGAGAGTTCCCAGGTGTCCTTGCCACTTGGAAGATCTGCAACAAACAATGCATTAAAGAAGGGAAGATTGAATGCACCAATGTTGATGCAAATGCTTGGTAGTATATACACTCTGCTATCAGTTTAGAATCTCCATTGTCAAATAATTTTTCACACAAATATATCCTATTAAGCAATTAATTGATCATAAATGAAGGATCTTAAAAGTCATGTATGTTAAATATACAAATATTTAAAATGTATCATAAATTCACCTCCTCTCAATGCTAGAATATTTTTAAGGCCTATATCCTTGGCACGCTGTAGGTGCCTGCTAATTTCTGCTTTGGTCATAGAGCAACATGTCATGTGCAGCATTGTCTCTAGGCCACTGTAGTTCAAAGCAGCACCTGTATCAGGAAATAAGAAGTCACGGTAAATTCTTAAAGTAATATATGAGTAAAATATTCATAAATAAGTAATTATCCACTTTGTAAATTTAGATGTCATAAAATGCATTCAGTATATAAAAAAACATTAGATTGTAAAAGTATGCAATTTATAAAAAATCAAAAAATTAAACAAAACTAAATCAATGAACAAAAATAGAAGCTGAAAGAATCACATACTGATGAAAGTTCATCAAACATGATCTTAAAAAGCTCATACCAGCAATAGTCATAGATGAGGTCTCTGTGTCTCCCCCTGGGTTGCCAGCAGGATGCCATGTAATATCACAGAAAAGGGGGTCTCCTTCACGCATGCGATCAAACCTAGTAATCAACAAAGCATAGAGTGCAAAACAAGAACACAGTTTTGATTCCTGAGACATATACAAATGCCAGTGAGTAATGCACAGTGCTATATAAAATCATTCATTCATATTCATTCCTCATACACCCTAATTTTCACATAAATATTATGTCACTAAAATGTGTTACATGCATATCCAAGATGATCAGATTTACCTGGCTAAGAGGTTCACCGCACCACCTTTCGTCCTGGGTGGGAAAAATTCAAGGGAGAAGAATTTGTCTTTAGATTCAATCCGACTATGGATCTTTTCTCTTAAACTGTGGTAGCCAGTTAAGTACTCAGGCATGTGGAGATCATCATCCGCATGGCTATAATCTGAAAGCATTACATCATACTCTTAATCATACCATTTATATAAAAAGGATACAGTATCAATCAAATCTGAGAAAGAGAAATCAAGTATTTCCACCAATGATATATGAGCAAAATTTAAATTGGTAATCAAAAGCAGTAAAACAGGAATAGTAAAATTCTAAGTTCTAATACTTACCAACAGGATTCTCATCTCTGTGTCTGAGAAAATCCTTCAGGATGGGCAAGGCTGCAGGAGTGCCTGGTGAGGGCAGTGTTGTAGCACCCTCCTTCACCATGATGCCCACTTACAGCTAAACTTGTCTAACTGAAAGCACACGTCATATGAGAAAATTAGTGATTATATGGTTTTGCGATTTGCACTTTGGTATGGGCAAACAACCTCAACCATGTATAATCTGACAAAATAGATCTTGTATACTCATGAAAAATAAGGAACAAATCCAAGCTGTAGTGTGTGGTGTATGTATAATTAGGATACCCATTGCCTTATGTTGGGAAAACAAAGCAAAGGAACCAAGGCTTTACTTCATTCAGTATCATCAAGACTTTACTTCATTCAGTATCATCTTTTGTAATTACTTCCTTTAGATATAAAAAAGGAAACATCCTTCAACACTACAGATATGAAAAAATTATATGTGCAATGTTATTTGCATTTCCTACTCTGCAAATATCCCTTTTCCTGTAACAATGCAATAAGCCTTTTAACTGGATGAAGCAGCCATGTACCAGCCCAAAACTTACTATCCAAGTAAATAACGTTTCTAAAACAATATAAAATCTGAAATGACCGGTTATTTACACCAATAAGCGGTTCGTTTGCAAAGGCCTAGAGTAATTCCGAGAGGCCAATAGAACGAAAGGTTATTGACATTAGTATCTTTCGCATTCACTCTATTGCTAGTCATCCAGCTGAATAGAACACATGAAAACGTGTCGAAATATAATGGGTTACCTCATTTACGGCAGTCTGTCTGCTGAAATACAAAACCAACTCGGGATCAAGCGATGGGTCACTTTTGAAGGTTTTTAACGCATAATGCAGACGATGGAAACTGTTTGGATTCGATTCATTGCTCGCAAAGTAACTTCTCTTTGGATAATAAACTAAAGCGTACACCAAATCTAATGCAAAATGCAACTGTAAATACAAAATTTTATCTATGAAATCTATGTCATTCAATATAATCGAGAACTTAAAACAATTCAAGAAAACGAAGCCAAAGCCAACGACAGTGATTCGAATACTTCATCTTTGTGTACAAACAAACGTTTGACTGCCAGCTGTACGATAACTCACAGCTTTTTATTACTCTGGGGAAAATGACGTCATTAAAACAAGTGTTCACGTGATCATAGTCTGATCGCTG